CAAAAGGGGCCCAAACCAAGTACTGAGTACATATGCATGCTTGTACTTTTCAGAGGTCCGATATTGTTCTATGTACAATCCTTGTTTTATTGATTGCATGTAATAATCTACTTTTTTGAGGTTGTGGATTTGGGGTTCTTGGGGTTTTCATGAGCTGTAAGCCATAATCATCACAATTATGACAAATCACGGCTTGAACTATCTTGCTTTGCATGTAATGAGTCTATCTCATATATTAGTTTCACCTTTTAAGTTGCATTAGTGAAATAAATGAACTTTGCACGATATTCTAATTATTCGAGTTTCACCTGTGTATATGTATATATATATAAATCACATCAAAACAAATAGAAAATCAAATCAAACAAAATCCCTAGATTAATATGTGGGAAAATATTTCAATTGACAGTTCAGAAAGTCCAAATGTGTATTCTTTGTGATAATATACAACAATCGATCAATGCAGCAGTGATTCTTTAGACACATTCATTAAATCATGTGCAGGCTCACCCTTGATGTGTGTTTCCACTCCAATCTTAATGGGGATACTCTCACCTTTTTAAGATGGACCTTATTAAATAATGTAAGGCCTTGTAAGACATTTTGCCCACTACAGGGATTAATCGATCACCACTCCTGATCCGCTAAAAATAATTCCCATAAGGAGCGGTTCAAAGAAATAAAATATTAAAAACAAACAGCACTTAATACAGTTGTATTTCAGCCAGCTTAGGAACATGCAGCTGATGACACTACAGGACAGGTGACGAGGAAGCGTGGACCTGGCTTTCCGGCCAGTCAGGAAACCAGGAGGCCGGTAATGACTCGCCGTCCGGCTTCCTGATACCGGTAGTGCCGTTATCGGGAGCATTTGGGCGGGGTACTCGCCCAAATACTCGGTATTGGCACTGATACTAGTATCGGTATCGGTGCATCCCTCATAAAGGGCATAGTATTGGAGTTAGCATAACATGCAGATAAACTAGCATTTTCAGAAGAGAGCTTGGTAGTGGCAGCTTATTCGTTTTTCCCATGACAGATTTGATTTAAATAAAAGGTAAAGGGCATCAAATGGGCAGCAGGTTCAGCAGTCTGAAATTCACACTCCAGAATCCACAGAAATGGCAATAATGTTTGGAGCCAAGCAAGTCTGCACGTGTTCTTAGTTGTGACTCAGCCACAATTCAGTTGTACAAGGCAAGCCCCATGTTCGTAACCTAAAAAGCTCATATTATTGTTAAACAGACAGAGAGGATTTAATAAAGGCAGAGACAAGAGGGTGGGAGGGCCTCTGCGCTCCCTCCAGACTGTCTCACCCACTGCAGCAATGGTATGTCCCTCTGCGTCCTCATATCCAATACACAGTGTAAAGGATGTGATGACTCGCAGACCACCGCGGCAGAGGTGGAATGAGGCTCCATGCAGCCGTCTAACTGCAAGTAGGCTCTGGTGAGTATAACTTTATTTTTGCACCTAGAAAAAAAAAAAAAAAACAAGCACAAAAAGTTTGCCCTGAGTTCTTCTTTAAATGTATTCTTAAATGCAAACATTGTAAGTACCCGAGTTTGACCTGGTATCAGTCTCTTGCAGTCCCTGTAAAGCAGGACCTGTATGTGAGAGGAAGATGCAGTGCAAGGAGCTAAATAAAGTAATGTGCTGACAAGAAACATGCTGATAGGAGGAGGAAGCAAAGTGACAGAGAGATGAGCTCATCACTGTGCTGCTTCTCCCTTTCCTGTCCAGTCACAGGCTGGGGCGGGTCCAGGATGACCTAGGCTCAGAGGAATTGGGTTGAGTGTTGCTGGCCATCAGGCTAAGGACATCTAGCGGCAGAAAAAAAGTAGTGTAGGGTAGATCTCTGGATTGAATATAAATATTGCAGCAAAAGCTAGTTATGTTACTTTCCCTTTTAATGGGCTGTTACTCTATGTATGAGGAGTGCTCCTGATGTACAGAATGCAGTGGACCAGCTGTCAGACTGGCTGCGGAGCTCTTCTTTTAACAAGGACAGAGCCACTCTCTCCCAGTGTAATCTTCAGGACTGAGTCAGTAGTGACAGCCAAGTCCTGCTCTTCAGTTATGAATAAAAGCCATGTTGTAGCTTTTCTTCATAACTGTTATGTGTAAATGTTTTACTGTTATATGTAAAATGTGTAAAAACAGTGTGGAGCCTCAATTATCTTCTTCTTTTCACAGCTAATTGTTTTATTTTTTTACTATTGGTATGTAAACTCTTTGAATGTGCGTCCGTTCATTTTTGTAGAGCTGCATTTAAAAAATGCTTTGTACTAGAAACACAATGCCAGCGTCTTTATAAAAGGGATACATTTCGGAATGCAATTTGCACATTTGATGAGTTTTAAACTACGGTTCCCAGATGGAAGAACACATTATGGGTTTGGTAATGTAAATGAAATCCTTGTCTTGTTGTAAAATGGTGATTATGTCTAAATCTAATATAATAAAATGTCGTGGGGTTGCTTAACAAAATATTCTCCCTATCTGAGTGTCTTTGGATCAAGAAGTGGCCAGCAGACCACCAGGACACTTTTTGGGCCACTGCATCTAGCCTAACTATACACTAGACTAGGCAGATGTAATTTCAGTACTCTGCACTGGCTCGATCACTGTACTTGTGCAGGGCCGTCGCCATAATAAGGCAGCCCGAGGCAGTTGTCTCCGGTGTCGTCTCATTGGGTCAGGTGGGGGTTGGCCAAAGCGTCCCAGGTTGCTAAGAGCTCTTAGCAACCTGTGACGCTCTGTCCAGCTTCCCACCAAGCTCACTCATGTCACTGGTTGACAGGAGCTGAGCGGGACACTCTGGTTGGCGCCCCGCTTAGCTCCTGCAACCAGTGATGTCACTGAGCTGGGCAGTGGTATACAGATGTATTCCCTGCACTCCTTACAGCGATTAGGACCATTAGTAACAGTGGTGCTAGTAGTAATGATCACGGATGGCGCCGTGCATATCAGACTTATACGAAATGAAGATCACCAGCACTCAAAGGATAACACCAAATCCTTGTGTATGTTTCTTGAAGAAAAGTGCCATGGCGATTGGATGTACGTGACACTTTTTTTCAATAAATGTACACAAGGATTTGACATTATCCTCTGAGTGCTGGTGATCTTCATTTGTTATAATTGAGCCGGGGAGGATGCTGGACACAGCCACCAGACTAGATGAAATGAGCATCCACCTGCAAAACACTCCCCCACAGTAACGAGCATCCACTGCCAGCACCTCACCCGCTACCTTCCCTCCCCAAATGACCACTCACCACCAGCCCCCACCCACCGGGTACGACCATTCACCACCACCACCCCTTCCCACTTAGGCAGTGAATAGTGTAGGGACAGCCCTGTAAGTGTGTATGTGCAAGCTTCCACTTTGCCATCTTCATCTTGGGCGTTGGGGGACATTTAAAAGGTGTACACTAGTAAACCCATATTTTAGGTTTCCTGATGCTAGATGTGATATTTGTACAATCGTATTTATATTATTAGACATGACCTATACACAAATGTCATACAAACACAAAAGTTTCTAAAAGAGTGATAAAAATAAAGTTTCACATAAAAAAAAAAAACCCTACCTTTCTTATATAGAATATATTCATCTTTGAAGTATGAGTCACTTCTGAATTTCATTTAGCACAGAGCTCAGCTTGAGACCTTGTTATTTTATATGACTATAGAACTCTTTAGTGTCTTTATATTTTATTAATACTGCTTAGTAGAAGGTGCATCATACCATACATAGTTTTTCATTCTGCTACATAATGAGGATCTTTATGATCCGCTTTTATTATAAATATCTGTACATACACTTTTTGCCATTTCACACTTCCTTCCATGATTGTTATTCTAACCGACTCCTGAAACTTCCCTCGGTTCAGTAGTTCTTTTCATGGTGAACACTGTACCATGACATTTTTTCTAAGGCCCCTTCCCCAGTGAAGTGTCATTGTTCAACAGGACCCACTTACACCCCACATATAGCATGCAGAAGGGCCTCCTGTCGAGGAAAGTCTCTCAAAGGCTCTAATTGCATCTAAGTTCAAGCATAACCAGGTGATTTAGGGGCTTTTTTACATTTGTACACACGTTTATCAAACAATTTTTTTGACAACTTGAAGTACAGGAACAGAATTGTGCGTTTTTTGCCCATAGACTTTTAAATGGAGAACAGCTGCAAAAACAAGCGGAAACACATTTTTTAAGAGTATTTCAGGCACTCCCATTAAAGTCTATGAGGCCAGATCAAACGATTATGCACCAAAAAAAGCTCATGCACTTTATTAAACTTTACCCCACTGGGAACAAGGGACACAACAGTCTGGCATGAACAGGGGCCCTTGAAAACAATGGAGTTCCTCTTTTTGAGCACTGTTGAGCTTAGGGAAAAGAGCTACAAAATGCCTAGGTGGGAATAGTGCCTTATAGGTATACAGTTTGCAGTAACAACCTAATAGAGGCTTAACCTTTCCCCACACCAGCTAAAAGGAAATAAGGTTTGATTAGAATGGAGCTTAAAGGGTGTTCTGAACTGCGGAACTTGTGCCAAATTAAAAGGCAAATAGAGAACAAAGAACTAGTCTCCTGTATTGCCTATAGGGTCCTTGCAGCTGATCTTTCTCATTACTAGGTTACCTTGACTTGTCTAAACTATGTCTGTGTGTGGAGTCAGCCAGCTTGGTAGAGACAGGGCTTTACTTCCTCATGTCCAAGCTTCACTGATGGCTGGTTATCCAATAACCAGTTGGATAATATTCAAAAAGCTCTTTGCACTGCAGGTTCCGAGGTACATTGTTAAGTAGTGACATCACAAAATTGTACTCCAAATTTTGTGAGACTAGCAGTCAAAGGCAGTATTGCCTTAGATCTCACACTGCAGATGTACAATTATTAGACTCAAGGCACAGATATGCACTATGATTACTTAGGCAGAATTTAAGACAAAAGGTAGACTTTTCGGAATACTGCTTAGGCATTAATAGCATTTCAAGATGTCATATAAGATAGCTAATCATAAATAATATGTGCAGCCTTTGATAAAAAGAAAAATATACCATGTAAATGCCTATATTAGCTCCACATCTCATTAAAAAAAAGAAAAGGAAGACCATTCACACTATCTTTTTTTTCCATTGCTTTCTAAGGTGGCCATGTAACTTTATCCCCAGGGGGCGGTGACTCCTTGTGACCGGCAGTTTCTACCAATGATACATGTGCAAGAAGCTGCAGTGGAGTTCTCTTTCTGTTGGGGAGATACAGGGATGTTTGACATCCCTGAACACTCACAACCTACACCATATGGCAAAGTGCGACTCACATCGGCTGTGCAGGGGGGAGTGTCAACACTGGGAAGCATGTCAGCAGTGGAAAGCATTTCAGCAGCAGGAGGCATGTCAGCAGTGGTCTAAATTCAGGACTTACAGGCATGCTGTGCGTGGGCATGGTGTCCTGCAACCCCCTATTAGTAGGTGAGACCTAAACTGACCCCACTAGGACGGATACCTTTCCATCGCTAGCGTGGTCAGAAAGCAACAGTTTGGGAGGGAGGGGAACTGGCAAGTTCACCAGGTATTTAATAGTAAAACAGAGTGTAGTGGTATAAGAAGAAACAAGTACCAGTTAGTTTATTAAAAAAAACAAAACAAAAAATCTGTGCATTAGCTAATTATCTATGTTAAGGGTTACATGCACTAACGTTTTTGAGTTTGGGTAAGTCATTAAAATCACATATAAGCTTTACCATGTTAATGTAAACTCAAAAGGAATGTATAATATTTTATGAATATGCAGGTTTTATTAAAATAGTACCTGATAAACTTGTCAAGAAGGTCCTTGTTCAGCCGCTTCTTGCTATAGAGTGACCATGCTCTGTTCCTCCCTCCCAGTTGTGATACTGCGTTGTCTAACTGGCTTCCCATGGTGACTAAACATGACCATTTTCAACACACATTACACAGGCATGGCTCACCACTATTGTCCCTTTCAGAAAGGCCTGCTCTGAGAAATGTCATGCAGCCATTGCTGAGGTGAATGCACGCAGACAGGAAGTGATTTTACAGAGGCTGCACAAAATCAGCTGTTCTTAGGTAAAGAAGGTAAAAACAAAGATTGAAAAGGCAATTGTTTTTACAGAGTACTTTAGCAAACTAGATGTCATTCAGATAGGGTTTGCTTAAACTAGAAGAATCCTGTGTTGTCATACCTTAGGTTTTTTTTGTATCCTTTGTAGATTTGTTGTTCCTATCTATCTGTAATTGTTGTGTTGGTCTTGGATGCTACCATATTTTTTTGACAAATGATTTTTCTTTCTTCTCCACAGCTCTCAGAGACAACAGAATCCAGCTGGTCAGGTCCTCACCAAATCAGCTGTCTATCAGTATTAGCAATGTGGTGTTAGCTGACGAGGGCGAGTACACCTGCTCAATTTTCACCATGCCTGTCAGGACAGCCAAAGCAATGGTGACAGTTATAGGTATGCTTCCCATTCCACCCAATAGCCGGCATGCGTTAATTTATTTTAACAATAAAGATATAATTCTATAATAATGATTATTGGTAGTCAGGACTGTTAATATTATGTTTCAAAAAGAGATTCTTCCCAGGCCAGGCCCTTTTGGTAGACAACAGATAACCTTCCTTAGTCACCTCATGCTTCTTGGCCCATGGAAACTTATTAAGGCAATGGGCTTTTGTTTGCATCAGAGGGGTTTGCATTCCAATGTGAAGCTATAGGGATGTAAAACCTGATAGAAGGAGGTCAACTGCAGGTCAAATGCAGCAGTTAGTAAATGATCTCAAGCTGTTGTCATCGACACAAGTCCAAAACCTGTTGACACAGACCTAAACAGTGCAGGGTAGATAGTCAACGCTGTTCTTTTGGCAGGAATATTCAAGATTGCCAGTGAATGTAGCCTACCACCAACATCTAAAGCTAACACTAGAAGCCTTGGTATTTCAGTGGCACCACAGATGACAAATTAAATGAAGGATTCCTAATCATATAATACCATTCATTACTAATCTTCCAGGATCAAGGAACTCTAAGACGATACCGTGGTATCATCTGCAGATTGCATGCAACTTACCTCCTGGTTGTCTTGTCTCTAGCGTAGTTTTATACATCATTTGATTGGTTTGGGCAAAATAACTCTGTTATCATCTTGTAGAACAAGTATTCTACACAAGAGTCTACACATAGCTGCAAAACATGTCGGTCAACTGTACCTTTGTCCCGACCGGATTTCTCATCTGGGAAAATGTCTTTAGTTTTGAATAGAGGAGGGAATGGTTAGGTTAGCTTACTCGGACAAATGGCCTGGTTGTCACCAAAACAGGTGAGGGAAATCTTCCAATGTGACACCTGTTCTGTTGGAAGATGTTGAAGACGGAATTTTAACCTTTCCCTACTCTATCAAAAAAAAACAAAGTTTTCGGCTTTAGATATATTTTAATTATCATGTATTGTGTTAATTTTGAATTTTGAAGGCTTGTGAAGGTTTAGATCAACTCAACATCTATTAAACCTGAAATATGAAGTTTGAGTGGGCTGAGCGTTTGAGTTTAGTTCTTTTTCTGTAAAATATTATATCCTCATTTCTAGAGGTGCACCGAAATGAAAATTTTAAAACCAAAACCGAAATTAAAAAAAATGTCGGGCCGAAAACCGAAATTTTTTTTAACGTTTTAATAAAAAAATTTAAAATGTTATTTTTATTTATTTTTTATAAACTTTTAATTTTTTTATATTTAATTTGTATTTATTTTTAGTAATTTTTAAGGGCTTCTTGGAAATATTAGGGGTCTAAACAGACCCCTGATATTTCCATTTTAAAATAGAAAAATAAATTGAGAACACAGTCCTTAATCTTTGCTTCTGCAGCCCCAGTTATAAATGAACAGGAATGCTCTATACTGAATGTTCCTGTTCATTTGTGGATATAGTATGTTTACTATATCCACGAATGAATAGGAAGTGATGTAGATCACTTCCCATTCATTCATAATTGAGGATATAGTAACCATACTACCGGTATGTCCTCAAACACTCAGCGACCCCCCGTCGGTCGGCCTCCTCTGACAGCCCTGGCTGTCTCCGCCCATACAGCCGCTCTCCTCTGATGTGTGACAGGAGGCTGAGCGGTGTGGGAGGAGAGACTCCGGCCACTCACAGCGCTCTACTCCCACGCACCGCTTGGCCGCCTATGACAGTTTCTCTCTTCCCTGCTGGGACACAGACCAGCGCCCAGTGGGGAGGAGAGAAATCACAGATGTTCAGCAGAAAAATGCCACTTTCAGCATTTTGTCAAAAGTGCTATTTTCAGCCGATATGTTTCGGCGGCCGATAAATCGGTGCATCCCTACTCATTTCTCTTATATTCCGTTTAGTAATAATTTAATGCCAAAACTAAAAAAGCTGTCATGTAGGTCTGGCTCTCATCGCCTTTTTTTTTTTATTGTGTGTCCTTTTCACAGTCCATTCGCTAATTTTATTGTGTTTACTCCCAGGGGTACCCCAGGAACCCAAGATTACTGGATATGAAAAACCATTTAATGAAAAGGAAAATGCCATTCTGAGGTGCACAACAAGTGGCAGCAAACCGGCTGCCAACATTAAATGGTACAAAGGACCTGAAGAGCTGGAAGGTAAAGAAAGGCATTATACTTTGGTATTGTGATTATTACACAATTTGTTTTACTTTAATATGATGAAGGGTCAGAGTCTTAAGTCTCACAACTGTGTGTTCTCCCTGTTCCTAGCTTGTGATTGGATAGTGAAGGAGAAGCAGCAGACTGATGAGCTTATCTCTCTATCACCCTATCTTCTGTCAGCATGTTCCCTGGCAGCTTATGAGCACTGCAGCAGAGAAGGTTGTCTTCTAGTGCTGTTTCTGTCTCTCCTAGTCTGAGCTCTGTTGTACAGGGGATTGCAAAGGATTGAAATCAAGTCAAATTTAGGTATTTTTACTAGTTGCTTTTAACAATACACTTAACATGCACCCATGTCCAAACTATAGACATTAAAACAAGCCTTCACTAACCTCCCTAACTGCACAAACTGTGAAGACCTCAAAGATCACAGCAAAGACTCTAAAGCCTGATTTAGGTCCCATTCACGCTTGCAAATGGGGCCAATTGCATCTGTCTTATGATTTTTTTCATGAAACTCATGTGAACAGCTGCGGCTGAAGGCACTGGAAGTTAGCATTGCTTTGAATAGTGCTTCCCGGCAGTTGTTTGTATGGAACTCAGGGAATAATTTGTGTGACTCATGCAGTTGGCCCTATTCACACGTGTGACGCAACATCACAATTTTTTAGTGCATTGTGGTAGGGCAGTCTAAATGTACATGACCCCATTATCAAAATCACATTGCACCACTACACATATGCAATCGCTAGGAGCATTGGGGTGCCTTTAAGAAGTAATGGCACTGCAGTGCACATAAAGGTGTGACATGTGATCTTGTGCAATGGACATGTTGTTCCACATGTCACGAATGTGAATGCGGCCTTAGTCTTTGTCTGTGAGCTTATAAACATCTGCTGTGTGTTTATCTCAGAAGGCTGGCAGGTTGTCAAGATTCTACCGCAATAAAAAGTAATAGGAAAAGAGCTGAGCTTTCTGTGCCTCTGTTGTGAAATTTAGGGGTGAATTTTTCCACAATGCCTATAGCTGCAGATGGATGTGAGTGGGGAGCTTGTTTTAGCCTGTGCTTATTGTTTAGAACAGGGGTGGCAAACTGCGGCCCTCCAGCTGTTGTGGAACTACAAGTCCCTTGAGGCTTTGCAAGATTCTCACAGCCACGGGCACGACTCGCAGAGGCAGATGCATCATGGGATTTGTAGTTTCACCACAGCTGGAGGGCCAGAGTTTGCCACCCCTGGAACTTTAGAACATGCAAATCCTTTAGTGTGCATAGTCATGCACAGGTTCACTCTAATGATTATTAATGAACATATACAGTACCTGCATGAATTGGTGTTTTTTACCTGTCTGTCTAGAGTTCAGCTTTAGGCTTCTTCAGTGTCTCCATAGGAGGAAGACGCTCCCCACCAGGGTCACTGATTGGAAACAACTAACAGAAGCTTTAAATTCTTACCCACTCTGCAAAAAAAGTGCATTAGCTGCTGTCTGTTTGGCTCCAGTTCTGCTCTACATACATTAGGGCTTTACAACATGAGTGTTTTGAATTTGTATTTCAACTGTGTTTGGAAACTGCTTTAAATTGCAGAATTTGAAGTGAATTATATACGGTTGTGTAGACTGGCATTTCCAGTAGTGTTAGTTAAAATGTGTGGAGTTTAAACAACCAATGAAATACACACATTTAAAGAATGATTTCTTACACTGCTGACCATTTATGCAAGCCCTTTAATACTGCTTCTATTAGGTTTTTTTATGATCTGATACACTTGGCACATCTTCACTTAAAGAAGAGCTGCATTGTGTTAGTCTTCAGGTGGCATCTTGTTATACAGCTTGGTTCCATAATATCAGTCCAAAACCTGGAAGTACATCACAAAACTCAGGCTATGTAGAGATGAATCAAGGTACTTTTTTTGAAGAATTGAACTTGTAGCTACATGCGTTCCCTATTGGGGACATGCTTGTGTACTGTAAAGGATTACAAAATGCAACCAGCAGAGCCTGTAGTAGAACACATTTCAGAGGGTTGCAAATTAAATGTTTGCTTTCTTTCAAAGATTCAAGTGCTGCTCCTACCTGACATGTCTGGGTTTGTTGGTTAGCATTTCCTTCCACTAGGTACTGCGGTTCTTCCCCGCTGGCCCCTGACATTGCAGCCAGTAGGAGAAAATACAGTAAGGGACATGGTATCTAACATAGTTAGAAAGTTTTGGATAGCAGCAGTGCTTGCAAAGATTTACTCGCCGCCCACCAGAAAGGTAGAAATGTAATGTGGTCTTTGGCAGGGTCTGCTGGTTGAACTTTGCGAAACAGTTACTTTAGAGCTGAACTCCAGGCAGGTTTAAATAACACACCACTCAGACTGGGAGAGGGAGAGGCAGCACTAGGAGGTAATCAAGCTCTGATGCATTCACATGTGCTGACAAGAATCATGCTGACTGAAGGAGCGAACAGATTTGAAGACTAATTAGTATGCTCTTGCACCTTCCATGTCCAGTCAGCTGGCTCTGGACAGGGTGGGGACACCACTGTACAGTATTCCTTAACCCTAGCAAAGAAAGGTGTGTCAGCCTCCAGGCTGTGCTGTCTGCCCAAAGTATGTAAATCTCAAAATTGACTGGACAGAATTATAAAAGCTTTGGCAGATCAGTTTGCATATTTCTTAATTAGGTTTTAAGCCTTAAAGGAGAACTATGGGGTCAGTGTTTTTCCCCATAGTTTTCCTTAGGGTAACGGGAGGACACAAACTAGCGTCCTCCCGTTACCCTAAGCTCAGTATACCGCGAGCTACAGCTCGCGGTATACTGAGACGCCGGAGCGTATCCCGATGTAGATGGCGGGATCCGCCCAGCTGCGTGAGTGACAGCTGGCTCTGCCTATCTAGAGGCAGAGCCAGCTGTACCCGCCCCCTCCCCCGTCCGTTCCGCCAGTCAGCGCTGGCAGATCGGAGCGGGCAGAGGGGAATCCAGCCCCTTCCCCTGTCACGGCAGAGAGCCGTGACAGGATCGAGAGGTGAGCAAACCTGGTATGTGTTCGCTCACCTCCCGATCTACTGAGCCGACCTGTGACAGTCTCATTGTCACAGGTCGGCTAGAACTATGAGGTGAGTGGAAATCACTCATCTCATAGTTATCCTTTAAATGGCCAAAAATAGACAGCACAGGTCCATGTACTGGTGTGGGAACATAGGAATTAACACATAGATCTGCATCTCATTATCATTAAGGGTTAATAACAATCAATAACAAAAGAAAAATAAAAGAAGTGTCACACTGTGAAATGTTCAAAGAACTGCCTGTAGGCTTCCACAGCAAACAACCCCAGTTGTAGTTTTTCAGTGCAAGTTTGCTTAGGATTGGATGCCTTAGGGCAATAAAGAAAGCCCTTCTGGATTATTAGTCACTTTAATAAATGAGGACCATCAGTTGGATGCACCCATTGTTTTTGGATGTGATGGTGGCATGGAGAAAGATTGGGTTCGTTGTCAATGTAAACAACACCAGCAATGCAAGTGGACTAGGGCAACCTATAGAGGAGGGTGGAGAGTGCAAAAATATTTCTAGTATGGAAGAAGGCCTTCTCCAAACGTGTGGCCTATTGCCTAAATTAGGGGATGACAAACACTGCACTCTTTAACACAGCAGTGGCGATAAGTCAGGGTTATTCTGAGATGAATGCATTGTCTTCATGCTTCATTTGTGAACATTTCAATTTTGGTTTTATTTGCGCCTTTTGATGTTAAAATCTGAAAGACGTTGCTGGAAAAGCACAGTGTTAGTCGACACAGTGCTAAAGATCAAAGACCCAGTTCCAGCTCTTCTCTGAAACAAAGTTAGTAGCAGTTCCTAAGGCTCATGTTAGCTTCAATGAGAGCTAGAAGTCAAGGTGACAATCACTTAACATGCTTTTTTAAATACTCTGAATGCTAGCACAAAACTACTGGAAAGGACACATTTAATACCAGTCTAAGAAGAACATGAGAAGACAACATGGATATGACAGATTCCTTACAATGGGTAGCCACACCTACAGTACATCCTCAGGCTACTACACTACAGTAATTTAAATGCTATAAAATAAACGTCCAGAAGAGACTACCAACAATAATAATAAGAGCAGCTAGACTGCTGCAGATACATCCTACCAAAATCCACAATTAGAACAAAGAAAAGATATTCAGTCTTCACTTGACGCACTTGTTCACATCAGAACTGCATCAGAACTGTGTGCGTCTGTGCAGCTGCAGTGCAATGCTACTTGATGCCGTTTTGATACGTTTTTCTTTACCTCAAAATGCAAATTAGACTATTATGTCACTTCCTTCTTCCTGTCAGTGCACTTCCTTTGCTGTTTGGAGTCAAGTTGTAGCTCAGACATGCTTCCTTTGTTTGCAGGCATGGTGTTAGTGCTGACTGTAGTGTTGGTGCACCCACTGTCAGAGAACAGTAGGACAGTGTCAGACAAACACAAGCATGTGAGGAGTGGTGGGGGTGGTGAAAGATCATGCATACTCTGTAGTACATGGGTTTTTTGCAGTGATCTCCCACCACTTCCCCATCTCCTGGCTGTTATTTTTGTACTGCGGATGCTTGAGGTCGTAGAGGAGTGGGCACTCCTCCACATATTTGAGGAACACATCTACATCCACACCACACATGGCTGCAAAGCTCCCTTCTTTGTAAATTTCCTCTGCCCACAAAGAGTAAGTCCCAGGATGAGGAGATCATTACTGCTGCCATTTATTTTTATTTTTTTCATTTTAAAGCGTTCCGTTGCAATCTGATGCATGTTCATGCAATTATGATGCATTTTACTGCGTTCCCTTTCCAATCGGGTGAAGCTGAAATGTGGCCAGCAGTATTTTTCTGACTGCAACTGAACTGACTGCATTGTAATGCATTTTAGATGCAGCAGCCAACCGTAACGGAATGCATTAAAACTACATCTGGTGTGAACAAGCCCGCAATGACAGAATACTGAATCAGTGCTTCCACAGCTATGAGTGTATTTAGCACTACAAAGTATCCATTAGTTTTGCTTTATGAAAATGTAATCACTTTGGAAAGATTTTCTCAGATGTTTGATTAGTAATACAGATAGGTAAACAGGGTCCAAGGTCATTCACATTTCTCAATAAATGCCTTTCTGCATGCTGCATCACTCCTTGATGATCCAGATTGACAGTCAATTTGCTGCACAGTATGTCTGATAACTAAGTGATAAGGCCGAGAGGGAGAGAGCTAAATCCTGTAAAATTCCTAGTTATGGACTTCCTGACAGGTTGCAATATAGAGATGTAAAGCCACGAATCATTCAGAGCCATCCTGACCGATGTCACTAGATTCCCAGCATCACCTCTGATGCATTTCAATTGTACAGGAAGTGTGCAGGATATGGAATGTTCTGTGTAAACGGTGTGTAAAATAACTCCTTCCCGTTGTCTCCCACCTCTTTTATAGGGTCACTGATCATGCATGTCTGTCATGCCTGTGGCTGTGTGAACTTGTCATGTTCTCTTAAAACATAAACCAGGCCACCTCTCTTGCCTCTGAACCTAGTCTAAGCTAGAACCATCAAACCCAGGTGTTTACTTAATCTTCCTTGGCCAATCCTGCACAGTAACTCCCCATAGGCTGGAATTAGGCTCTACTCCAATGCTGGAATTACAGCCCCAGTCTATGGGTTACTTACAGGCACAGGCAGCACTGGAAGAAATTCTCAGACCCAAGAATTTAAACACCAGAAGAGTCTGCTGCTGTCAAGGAGATCCAAGTAAGCACCTAGGAATTCTCGGTTAGATTTGGTTAGGGGGCTAATGAGGGTGTCCTGGGTTTTTTTTTATTTTAGTGGGTTTGTACCTTAATCTGCACGCAGACAGTAGCTGGCTATAGACCTAGCTAACAAACAATATTTTTAAATACAGACTTTTGTACAAATATGCAAGTTTGTATTGGGAAAACTTGCACCTCTCTACCTGTGGAGGAGGATGGTGGGAGAGCAGTGGGCAATAGAATGTAGGAAAACAATAGTGATTGGCTGGGAAAATCCATCCCTGCTGATTAGCTCTTCCCAAGTAGACACAGTCACAGAGCAGCCAGGATTGTAGAACTGCCTACAAACATATGAGCATTCCCTATTTGTGTTATAAATGGCAATCTAATGTATGACATTCATGTCGGCAACCTTATATATAATTTTTTAACGTGTGCTGGGCCGTAATTAGGACTATGGTGAAAGCAAATCTAAATGTTTTGAGCTGCCACTGATGGGCTATAGCAGGCACCTCTGGGTGCATGCAGGAGCATAACTATATATCGTGGGACGCCATAGTAGAATTTTAATGAAAACCACCAGTGAACCAGTTTCTGGCATTTTGCCGCCCCAATAACAGGTACACCACTGCACACCTCTACTTACTGATACCCTGGTGGTCTGTGTAGCCCTTCTAGCTTCAGCCTCTTCACACTGATGGTCAGTAAACAGCTACCCATAATGCATGCCCCACATTATATTGGTGGTTTGTGTAAATGTCAATGTAATATTAGTGGTCAATGAAGTGTCCCCTTAAATTGGTGGTCAGTGGAGATGAAATGCCCCATTATAATGTTGGCCAGTAAAGTGCCCCCTTTACATCTGTGGTTCGTGTAAATGCCACCATATGTTGGGAGAGATTAGAAAGATAGTGTCAATATTAAAGGGGTTCTAAACCCTCCGTTTTTTTTGCCTATATCTACTGCTAGCAAGCAGTAGATATAGGCAAGAAGTGTAAAAAAAAAACGCTTAAAGTCCTTTTAAACTTACCTCGTTATCGCCGCTCGTTCCCGCGCCGAGAATCAGGAACTGCTCGTACGGCTGCAAAGGATCTTGGGGCATGCGCAGTTCCGATTCTCGGCCGGGAGACGAGCAGAGACGCAAGGTAAGTCTATGGACGCGGGCACCCGCCTGCAGACACCGCTGGATCGGAGAGACAGAGCAGTCAGCGCTGGATCGGAGTGACGTCACACCGCTGGAGGGACAGATGAAAACATGGGGAAAGAAGAGGAAGATCGGAAAAAGAGACATCATTTAAGGTAAGTGTTAACATTTACATTGGGGGGAGGGAAAAAATGTTTTGCCTTTAATGCCACTTTAATGCAGAAGGTAACCTCTGGACACTTTTGAGCTGTGAATATTAAGATTACAGGCAATTGGCAATAAACCTTTGTCCAGTTTTATAAATGTTGTTAATGTAAAAAAGTGCTATCGTTCTGCTTTAAATGGTGTTCATCTATAAAGTATTGTCTGAGAAATGTAATTTAACATTAAGACTTAATTTGCTTCATGTTACCAAAGCCTATTTCTCTCCTCATAGGAGCACGAAACTCAGAGACAAAAGATCCTAATGGCAAAACCTTCACAGTTGTCAGCATCATCAGCTTCCCAGTGACCAGAGAGGATGACCAGGCAGAGATCACCTGCACAGTTGGTCATGAGTCAATGCCCAACACATTTAAATCTTCCACCCAGATACTTCAAATCTTATGTGAGTACCCTAGTACCTCTGCAGATTGCTGTTGTTTTTCATACTTCTGTGTCTAAACTTTAGGCCTGGGGAGAATAACGTAGATGGAGTTTAGATGGTGGCCATCATGTTTAGCTAATATATTGCATGGAAATTATTTTATAAAAGCCACATAAAACTGATTGAACAGTTTAAAAACATTTTTAGTCTTTCAGCACTTTCAGTGTAGAATTATTACTTTGAGGTTCTCACACACTATATATATATATATATATAAGTCTATCATCAACTATAGTCCCGAATATGTAAATTAGTCCTACAGACAATCTTTTAGAGATTGGATCAGATTTAGGTAATGTGCACACTGCCATGGTGTGGCTATGGTTCTGTGATATTCCCAAAGTGAAAATGCTCTGAAAGTTTAAAATTAACATTTCTGCATAAGTGCAGACACCACAAGATGCCTGTTGTTACCTTAACTAGCCAGAAAGGCCTCTTTTGTGCCTTTATCTGATTTAGCTTCACTTTCCTGATTTTTTGACTAAGCTCTGCCAAATGCAGCTTCCCTGTCCAGTGAGAGTGTCTTTACTGGTCACTGAGACATTCTAATTGGACAGTGAAATGATAGTTAGCTGGACTTAGCCCCGAACAAAGATACAGTCAGGTCTCAGTAATGAAACTAAATCAGTGAGAGTGGTTGATAAATTAAAAAAAAAAGATATATTTTGCCATATTAGGTGGAATTTTGATAAGGTTTAAATTGAGTACATGTTCATTTAGTTCTTGAATGGTGTCAGCTGAAGGATGGAAAAAGGAAACTCACTGGGTAATGCGATATCACTTGAACTCCATATTCCTGCCAGAAATTAGTCTGGACAGGACTGATGCCAACTTAAACTAAAACACTTGAAAATTGCACTTACCTTATGAAGTGCTAATGTAGTGTCTACCTTATGAAAAGCCAATGTAGTGTCTACCCACATCTGATATTTGTTATGTTACTGATGAACATTTGGTTGATTGGCTGGTTGTATTAATAATCGGCTCCTTCCAGCATGTGGGTAAGTAGAGATGAAACTGAGGTGCTTTGACTCATCTCTCTGGTACCTGACACCTGTAATACCAGTTTTATATGGATTGTACCTTTAAATAACAACCATCACCCATTGCTATGCGAATTATCATACAACATCCAGTTTCCCTAAAATGGCAGGCAGAAAGGCAGACAGACAAATAGAAAGTAATCAGAAAGCCAGCATTACCCACTATGACTGCGACTCCTGATTTGCTCCCTTTGGCATTGTTCACAATTAAAGAATTGTTCTTCTATGCTATAGAAACTGGTTTATACCTTAGCCAGAAACACTATGAATTATGGGAAAAAACATTTCTATGGTCAGTGTCATAAACATGGGAGATTGCTGGAATATCAGCCCAGCACAGTATGTTCTTAGAGCAGGCTTCATTTTATAATAATATTTTCAAGGTAACCTTTGACTATAATGCTGTATGAAGTGTATGTAACTGCATACAGTCATTGTATGAGGTTGCAGGGACATTTGACATTTACACATTGACATTTACAGGTACAGGTCCAGGACTTATCAATTTGGGATTTAAGGTTGTCCAGATAAGGTTCTATGTTCAGTTATTTCAAGTACCTTAATGTTTATTCTGAATGGCATTTCTTTGCCCAAAGTTGTCTTGGCATTTATTTCATGATTGCATTTTTTAAATGCTTTTGTGTTGCTATATATAAGGACATTTTCTGTGTATGGGATATTTTCCCTAAAACCTCTAATTATTCACCATATCAGCCACTGATACTTTGAGCAGTATTGCTTTGCTGAGCAAGATTTGTAACAAGAGAACACTGAATTGATATAAACCACATTCATGCATGGACAGTTGCTAAAGTTGTTTTCATGTGATCTATCTATCTATCTATCTATCTATCTATCTATCTATCTATCTATCTCTTTCTGTAGCTGCAACTACAAGAAAGCTTTACTGATACATTTCAGCAAAATTCCCTTCCTAAATTAAATTATTCAGGGTAGAATATACTTAGTCTACATTTTTAATGCTATGAGAGCATTAAATATAACTAATTTCAATTGATTAGATTTAAAACGGTGTATTTTCATATAATTAAATGTATTGAAAAAGTCATTTGATAAAGATTTTTTATCTGGTTGATAATTTTACTTTGTCATTCTTTTTATAAAGAAAAATGACTGAGTTGTTTTAAGAAACAGGCCCAGCCAGCATCCTCAATCTCAATAAAAGGCAATCTTTAGGCATTTTCTCTCAAGCACCAATCAGTTTCACACCTGTCTTGGAAGAATAAATGGTGATGAGCAGAGAGGGAGGATGTTACACAGGACGTGTTGTAAGCAGCACAATCCTACTGACCCCCTATGGAGCTGTGTGTATTTTTTTTTTAGGAAATGAAACAGAACTCAGATTAAAAGGATCCTGTCAGGATGAAAGTTCCCTGCAAGAAAATATTGATTATTCTCACTTCTCCATCAGCCTTCGTCTTCTGTTTCTCCTCTGTTCTGGCACAGCCTCCATCAGTGTCTTCGGCATTTAGCAGTTTCAGGAGTTTCCAATACCCGTGTCACCGCCAAGTGCCATGGTTCCATCCTCCAAACTGTACATCACTACAGGACACAGCAGGGGTTGAGAAATGGAACCACAGCACAGGTGGGGACTTCCTTGAAAGTGTACAGTATCAAAGACAATAACAGAGACTGTAGCAATAAAATGAAGGGAAGGTAGGAGACACAACTCTTCCCTTTACCCGATATGGTCAATATTGTCACTTTAAAGTAAATTGATTGAAACGTTAGTAGGGTCCATATGTTTACTGAGTAGCATGTGCAGCTCACTGAATTCCTTAATTGCCTGGAATTGGCTCACTAAATTGAACTTAGGTTATGTCCTGTCCAAGCATCACATTCAATAAAAGTGCTTTCTTTGGGCTGGGGGAAAGGGGGGATTTGGGTGGGAGGGACTTAACTGCAGGGGACAGGGCTTAGCCCTGTAGACTTGGATGTTCATTCCTTAGTAGCAAAGTCAAACCAGGTTTAGGGAAAGCAGACAGACTTTTTCAGCAAAGGTAATTCACGACAGGATGACTTAAAAAAAAAAAAAGTTGGTCAGAGGTGTTCCCAGATACCATTGTAACATGAACTACTTTGTAGCATGAATGACTTAAAGATGCTAAGCACAATTTACATCTGAATGTTGTAATATAACACTTGTAATTATATGATTTAAAAGCAGCCATCCCTTTTGTGATTAAAACTAAACTGTCAAAGGGTTCCCCAAAGCTCCAACACCAAATGCCAATAAGGTGAAATTAGGGGGGACGCAGACAAATTGAAGAGGAGTACTAAGTCTAGTATCTGCTAGGTGATTGGTTCTGCATGCTTTGAAGGTGTGGTTGCTATGCTGGACAGTGGTAAAGTTGTTCAAGAGGCAGAATGCAGATGAACAATACAGCAAATAGATGCATGTTGTTTTCCCATGTCATGGTGTGCTGATGTCAGCTTGAAGAGTTGAGAGTAATATGTTCAGGGCAATCACATCAGTTGTTACCCATTGATGACTGCAGTGACACCTTGTAGGGGATTGAGGTCTGTACTCTCCCCATATACCATAACCCCTATAGCTTGTCACCAGAAGAGGAGGTGAAGAGAAATCTCCAAGTGGGACACACTTGGAGATGTATTGCTGTGTGTGTCCCTGTTTTCCTCATTCTCCTATTCTGTCCAAAAATGAAAAAAAAAAATCCTTACGTTTTGCATGGAGTTACACTTTAACTTTGGCAGTACGTTACACTTGTGTGAAGTTGTTCTAGCCTGTGGTTGTGGTTGCAGTATCCCTCTATGTAAATCATTTCACTGCAATAATTGCTTTCAGTACCACAACTAGTGTCTTATCTCTGGGCTGTCATGGAAAGGACTTTGTCAAACAAGTGCCTGCGGCTGAAGGCAACATGCAAGATCTATCCCATATGTGTACTGCATGCACATGTGGATGAAATAAGAAAATATTTAACTCTTTGTGGCCATTACTCATATTCATCATGTCCTTGCTGGCAAGATCGGAGTCAGAAACAAGTCAGGACAAAATATGAGTGCATAATTCTGTACATACTTCATAAATCCATGTGTAGGGCTGGGTTCACGGCTATGTGATGGTGCAGTTAAAATCAATTTGCAAATAAATGCCAACAAATTAAAATTCAAGCAAAAAGTATACTTTAATACCATATCTGCAAAAAACACCAACATTTTGAGGACGCAGTGGCCCTCTTTTTTTAAGGTGACATGTGGAGACCCTGGAAAAGTTGGTGTGTTTTTCCTAATATGAATTGTCCAGGAAACCTTATACGGTACTTAGATTTGTTGGCATGCTGGCTTTCTTTGCAATAGAAAAAAATAAAAGCCATGTCTCTTCCCTGGTCCTTCGTGTCAGGCAAAATGATGTAATGGTGATGCTGAGCCCAGACACTGCATGGTTCACACAGACTTCAAGTGTCGGCACAGACAATAAATTATCCTGCATGTCTGGTTTAGGTGTTACTTTGCATAGTGACAGTTCTTCCCAGTTTTAAAAATTGAAACAAAATAATAAATAGGTTATGTTTAGGGATCGAACAAGCTCTACCTATTGCTCTCTTCTGAAACTACTGTCCTCCGCTCTGGAATCATAGAATTGTTTTTGTTAAGACTGCATTTCTTTTACACACCAGTCAAAATTGCAAATTAAAACCTTAAAATACATACCGGTATCTATGTATACCGGTACATACTTATTAAAACTAGCCTTGATAATTTGAGTGTGATTGGTGATTCATCATAAAGGGAAAAATGCGGCTGAAATGTCATGAATCAGACCTACCTACCCCGAAGCTGAGTGGACTTTTTGACTTACAGGTTAAGTCAATTCAAACTGATAATTACATTTTTGGTAGATTCTGGAGAATCGAGGCACCCAACAGATCCCAA